TAGTTTCTGTAGAACAGGAAGGTGCTATGCATGCTACCAGGGGAGGAAGTACTCACCAGTCTTGCCCAGTAGTGAACCCTGCAAGCGACAATAAACCTGCCTAGCAATCTTATTTTAAAAGAAGATCAAGTTTATTTTAAAAGAAGATACCAGGTTGATTTGGCAGTATTTCTTCTTGTGTTCCTCATTTAACAAACTAGTCATCATACTCCAAGGGAATTAAAATATTGGGTAAATTTGTCTTACATTTAGTTTTTTGGTATGCAAGCTGAGACGTGAATGTAATTTACTTTAGTGTCAGAAATTTTCATAGATATCTCAAGACAGAAGAAAAATATTTATTCTCTTCGTATAAAAATCTAAGGTGACATTTTCTAAGCATTGTGCACATATGTCAAAGCATGGAGATCATTTAGGTAGCCTGTCATGATGAACATGTTAAAATAAAATTTACACCAAGAAAATGTCTAAAGGCATTATTAGCCATTTTTGAAAAACATAATGCCTTACATTTACTCGATAGGTCACCACAACAAAACTAGGGTAACGTGATTGTGTTTCTTGTACAGAATGAAAAGGAAGGACTGAATCATGGGGTACTTTGCTGCACAGGTCCTTTAGGGCAATATTAAATTTTGGGAACAGATTTCCCAGTACACAGTTCAAGGTTCTATTTTAGCTCTGTTCTTGCACTTTTTCCTTGCCAAGACAATCTCAATGGCAAGTTGTCTGGTATGCCTTGGATTTCCTTGATTTTTTTTTTTTTAGAGTATTGGATTTGTTATTTTAACAATTTTGCTTTACTGCAAGTCAAAAGAATTGCCATGTTTCCAATATATTTAAAATGTTCACACTACGATTGAAGATCAAGCTTAACTTTAATTAGAGGGAATATTGGAGATAAGAGAGTGATGCAATTTTTTAACTTGACTTACATTATGAAGAAACACACCACCCTACACTGTAATACTTCTTTCTGAATGATTTGCTATATATCAAAGGCCATGAATGGGTGCAAAATAAATAATGGATATATCAAATAGTATCAGAGAAGTATAAATGGAGTGCTGCTTGCAATGGCAAGAAACAGATGTTTGGATCCCACAGGCTTGGATATGGAATTAAAAGTGTGCACCGCCATCGCCTGGCATTTGACTGCTCACCTTCACTAGCTATGAAAATACAAACTCCTGAGGGTGAATGTCCTTTTCTTCTCTATGTACTTCCACATCTGAGTATCCGAAAGACTACTTGGTACATTGTCACCTTTGAGTGAATTAATGAAATAAGCTTTATGATTTAAATGTAGTAGAGCTTCGAGGAAATTAATTATGCATCTGCAATGGTTGGTATATCCTTGGCCCAAGGAGTGGCACTATTAGAAGCTGTAGCCTTGTTGGAGTAGGTGTGTCAATGTGGGTCTGGACTTTAAGACCCTCACCCTAGCTACCTGGAAGTCAGTATTCTGTTAGCAGCCTTCAGATGAAGATATAGAACTCACAGCTTTGTTTGCATCATACCTGCCTAGATGCTGCCATTCTCCCACCTTGATGACAATGGACTGAACCTCTGAACCTGTAAGCCAGCCCCAATTAAATGTTGTACTTTATAAGAGTTGTCTTGGTCATGGTGTCTGTTCACAGCAGTAAAACCCCAACTAAGACAGCATCTATTTAAACACTATTAGACAATACCCTAAACACACCAGGTATTTACAAACCCATTTGTATTTACCGTCTAATCATAATTTGATTCGTAACTTGTCCATAGATAAGATAACTCTATGTCCTCAAGTTTGTCCCACTGAACCTCCACACTCTTAAAATAATTATAAACAACATCTTCTTTCACAATGTCCTGATGGGGAACAGATTGTGTAGTCAGTGTATCTAAAGACCAAGTGTGCTAATGAATTGTCATTAAGGCAAAGGGGTTTGCCTCATGCTACCTATTGTAAATCTTAACCAAAAAGTCACATCTGCATTTAATAGCAAAAAAGAAAGATGTCCTGGTTTGCTTTCTTTTGCTGTGATAAAAACGCTCTGTACAAAAGCGACTTGGTGAGGAAAGCTTTTGTCTGGCTTATAAGTCCTGGTCATGGTCTACGATCATTTCGATGAAGCCATGGCAAGAACACAAGGCAAACCTGGATGCAGGAACTGAAGTAGACTACAGAGAAACACTGCTTACTGACTTGCTCTCTGTGACTTACTCAGCTTCCTTTCTTGCATAGCCCAGGACCTCCTGACTAGGGTGACACTGCCCACAATGGACTGGACCATCTTATATTAACCAATCAAGAAAATGTCCTATAGATATGCCCACAGGCCCACCTTTAGAGGTAATTCCCCAGTTGAGCTTCCCTCCTTCTGGTTGACTCTACTTTGCAGCAAGCTGTCAGAACCTAGCCACTATAAAAGGTAAAGATGATTCAGCAACGTGGGGAATGGAGAAAAGTTTCTGATTGGTTTTGCCTAGGAAGAAGCTAGTATCTAGCAACGCTTAGTTCTCCAGTGTCTCAATTCATATGCTTAAGTTCATGCTCCGTTTCCAGCACTTATGAGCTACGAAATTTGCTTAACTTACTTAAGTCTCTGTTTTCCTCCGAGAATGATGAAACAGTACTTGCGGGTGTCATGGGAAACTTCACGTACAGTCTCTAAACACCGCTACTTTGACTCACAATACATGCTGGAGTCATATTGGCTAGTGTTGGGGCCTCAGTACAAAGGCTTTCAGAAGGAGTGGTGCCAGTCTCTTGAGTCCCAAAGCAATCGTGTCTTTGTAATATAGCTTATTATTTAAATATTAAACAACTGGCTTAAAGGGGATGAGACTGCCTGGCTTCCACTGTATTTAGTAATCTGTTTTTAATCCCATGCATTAGTCACTGTGTTTTGTTAATAAGGGGCAGTAAGTACAACAACAGATCTTCAGAATAAATAGACCATTTATTTCGTTTTCAGGACAGGATCCAGAACATAAAGAGTAATCAATAAATATTTTTTAAAACCCCTAATAATTGATGGAACATTCAGAAACACCCAAACAAAGTATCATTTTTAAGGCTGTTTAACACAACTTTTGTCATCGTGTTTCAGTTTTCACAGAGAATCATTAACTAATGAAGCAACTCTTTCAGTATACACAGCTTGGGCACTTGAAAACTGCCCCATGGCATAACATTAATGGTAAACTGTGGAGGTTTTACTTCCATCGTAGGTTAGAACTTAAATTATTGTTGGGATCAACTGCAATACTTTGCATAACACAAAGGGGAAATAAGTCACAGATACATTAGTTGCTAGGGGCAATATTAAAATCAAGGTCTCTTAATTCCCATGCCAAAATTATTTTGGCTTTCTCTTTTAATGCCTGTCTGGTTTTAATCACAATGATGTCATTTGAGAAAATACCAATTATTTAGTTTTGTCTTCTGCAAGAAGTAAAAAGTTTAGAAGACTTCCTGGGATCCTAGCTGTCTCTCTTCAAATATTTATTTACTTTTATTCACATATGAGTAATAAAACTTTTACCAAATTGTATTTTATGAAGAAAATAATTACTGCTAGGATTTTGTTCTATTATTGAACTTTTCTAATGGAAATTAAATTCTAGAAGCATTAAATACTTAATTTAATAAAGTTTATTTTATTAGTTTCAATAGCAGACATAATACCGCTTACTTAAACAAATAACAAATTTTTTATTATTCCCTGAGTAGTATATTGATTTTCAAGTTATGTTCAAATCATTACAAAATTGATTTTCATAAGAAGTAAAACTGAAGTGTTTTATTGCCCAGTGTCAATGAAACTACTATTTACCCATTGCTCAGCGAATTCTGTGTTACCGTGTATCTGTAGTTACTTTAGTTGTGTTAATACTTTTGAAAAAAAGAGAGATGTGTTGCTTCCGTTCACTCATACCTTTTGGCATCTTATGGAATGAGGGGTAGCGATTAGGAATGGTTAGTGACAGATGTTCTGGGGTCCTGGGGAAATGACAGAAGAGCAGAGAGCATCTCTTCTGCCTCGTCTAGCTGAACCTTTACACTGTGCAGATGTTCTCGCTCCTTTGTTTCCTCAAACACCCTGATTGTCTCAAAACACTCCACAAATAGGAATATAGATCAGAACACCTATAGATAAGATATTATCGATAAGATATATAGATATTGCTTTGGTTATTATTTGCTCTTTAATAAAATGCATGTCCGGGGGGATGAGGAGAAAGCAGAGTCTGTCAAGTGCTTGTATCACAAGTTGGAAAACTTGGTTTGATCACTTGTGGTCATCACCCATAATAACCCCAGCACTGGGTAGTGGAGGCAGAAGGCTCACTGGGGCTACCCAGCCAGTTAATCTAGCCCAATCAGCAAACTCCAGCCAATGACAGACCTTCTCTCACAGAGATGGATGACGTTTCTTAGGACGACATCTGAGGCCCTCTGGCTTACATGCACATACACATAAGGAAATAAATAATAAATAACCAAAATGTGTGTGCTTGCTTATTTATTTATTTATTTATGACTTCCGTAACGTCTTTAACTTATTTTAGGTCCACCCCCTCATTTCCTCCCTTCTAATTTTTCACATATTCTACTCCTTACTATTCTCTCCTAAGTTCGTGTGTTGGTTTTGTAAACCCAATGAGTCCACTTAGTGCTAGTAGGTGTGCCTGTATATATGACATCTATAATACATGGGCCATGAATGTCAAAAATGGTATGTGAGAGAGATACTCCTTGGATAAGCAGTAGTTATATTCCTCATATTCCTCTTACATATAATATTTGTGTATGTGTGTATATACATCTGTATACACATATATACATATATACATACACACACATACACTATATATATACGTATATGTATATATACATATACATATGCATATACATATACATATACATATACATATACATATATATATGATGGCTAAATTCAGACAGGGGAAATAGTAGTATAACTCGCATCCATTTTCTTCCCTAGTGCTCCATTACCTGTGGCAAAGGCATGCAGTCTCGTGTTATCCAGTGCATGCATAAGATCACAGGAAGACATGGAAATGAATGCTTTTCTTCAGAGAAACCTGCAGCGTACAGGCCATGCCACCTTCAGCCCTGTAACGAGAAGATTAATGTGAATACAATAACATCACCAAGACTAGGTAAGCAGATCACAGAGTGGATGGCTTTATGGCACAAAGGGGTGCCTTTAGGTCATTTATTGCCTTAAAGCTTGGGGATTATTAAACTGCACCAGTTTGCTTGTCTCTAAGCCAGGACTAATTAAATATACTTCAGTCCAGAAAGCTCACAAATGAGTTTTAAAGTTTCATAAACACTCCCTTCCCTCCCTGATGGATCTACTCAGAGATAAGTCTAGGAAATACTGATGTCACACTACCTGAGGTCACTATTTTTTTTTACACTCTAGTCTTTCCCCACCTCTCAGTCTGCCCTCCAATAGTTCCTCAATCAATTCCTCCTTCACTGTCTCCAAGAGGATGTCCCTTTCACTCCCAGGCCTTTCCATTCCCTGGGGCCTCAAGTCTCTCAAGGGTTAGGTTCTATCTTTTCCCACTGAAGCCAAAACCTGCAGTTTTCTACTGTACATGTGTTGGGGCCTCCTTGGACCAGCTAGTGCATGCTGCCTGGTTGGTGGCTCAGTGAGAGATCTTGAGGATCCGGGTTAGTATGACTGATGGATGGTCTTCCTATATGCTTGCCCTCTTCCTCAGCTTCCTTCAGCCTTTCCCTAATTCAACCACAGGGGTCCCTGACTTCAGTCCATTAGTTGGGTGTAAGTATCTGCATCTGTCTTAGCTGCTTATTTGGCCTGTTGGAGGACAGCCATGCTAGACTCCTGTCTGTAAGCACACCATAGCATCAGTAATAGTGTCAGGCCTTGGAGCCTTCCCTTGAGATGTATCCCAATTTGGGCTGGTCACTGAATAGCCTTTCCCTCAATCTCTTCTCTATTTTTGTCCCTGCAGTTCTTTTAGACAAGAACAATTATGAGTCAGAGTTTTCAACTGTGGGATGGCAACCCCACCCCTCCACTTGATGCCCTGCCTTTCTACTGGAGGTGGATACTATGAGTTCCCTCTCTCTACTCTTGGGCATTTCATCTAAGGTCCCTCTCCTTGAGTCCTGAGAGTCTCTCACCTCCAAGGTCTCTGAGGTTCCTCCCATCTCCCACTCCATGAGGTTACATATTTCCATTCATTCTGCTGTCCTTCAGGGCTTTTCTCTTGTTCTCCCTCCCATACCTGATCATGTTCCCCTTTTAATGTTGCCAGAGTTTAAACATAAGTCTAGCTGCACAGTGGGACTACATTGATATCTGTGGAAAGAAGAAGTTGCAAATAAACCTTAGATTCCTCCATAATTAATATCCTCCTTTTGATCCTGGATGTAAATTTTTCTTTAAGATAGAAAGTATAAAAGTGGATTCCCATAAAAAATGGGCCTCTAAAACACAACCAAACATGAGGTTCTTTTCTTGTATTTGAGGATACAAGCCCTGGCAATATTTATTTCTTTTTGTATTTTTCAATTCATTGCTTAATTGACATACAAAGGGACATGTCTCTTAGGATTTTCATTCATACTGAGTTCTGGTTGGCCTGTCCACTCCTGCCCCATCTTTAGGCCACTGGTACCCACTGTCCCTTTCCATCCCAAGTATTCCAAGTCCACTTCCGTATCATGTGTGCTCTATTACCCTACCTTAAAGGCTCTCTTGTTCCCATATCATGGGTCACTTTTCTGGTCTCTACCCACACTTAACTTCCATAAAATGCATATGTGTATATATGCACATCTGTATGTATACATATATGTGTGTGTATATGTATTAGAAATATATATATATATATATTTCTAATTAAAAACTAAACACATATGAGGGAAACATGCAGTAGTGATTACTGGTAATATTTTACCCTCTTTTTAGTATTATGAGATACTTTTACTAAGCATTATCAATCCTTATTATATAATTTATCATCAAGAAGTAGAGTGCTTTTAAATGCAGGTATCTTATATTTACATAACAAATCTTAATGACTAAGTTAACCTTTATGTGGCAATTGGTACTTTAATAACACTTCTACGTGGCAACCAGTGGATTAAGATTTCCACTTCTGCACATACGTTCCAGGAAAATTTAAATCCTGTGGCTATTTGAATAATTGTCAAAATAAAAGAAGCTAATTTATCATCATTTGTACTTTTATGTTGACAATAAAAGATTCAATGAATTTGAGAAGTTCACTTTCTGGATATGCAAAAATTCCTTTTGAGCCAAATAATTACTGTTTCTTTGAAATGATCAGGTAAAATAGAATAATGTTAATCAAGATGTCCTTAAACAGATGGCTCAAATGCTTCCAGCAAAACACAACCCCCTGTATAACAATCACACAGCGTCTGAGAAGTATCATTTTGGGGAATATCTTGGAATGAAAATTGCATTTTTCTACTTCTGAGTCTTTGAGAGGTATAAGGGTTGAAATAAATGATTCCAATGAAAAGCAGGTGAGGGAAGAGTGTGAATCTGAACAGCCAGAAAAGGGAAAAAAACATACTGCAAATTGAATTTCACAGCAGATGCAGTAACACACTTTTCTCTGACACTGGAAGCCAGATCTTCAGTACAGAATTGTCTAGAGCAGACTCTCAGTCCAAGCATTCATGATACATCACTTCTGAAAACCAGCTTGATGCTTAAAAAGCCAAGACTTGTTCTCCATGTTGTCTGCCCCCACTTGTTATGTGGGAAAGTCTTATGCAGAGTAAACATGTGCACATCTTCATTTTGCTGTTTATTTATAATTCCATTCATAGACATAGTTATTAATATGCAGCTATTTTAAGTTCAGTGGGTTGGTACACACATCTCTCAGAACCTAGGAGGATCAGGAGGCAATGCTCATGAGTTCAAGGCCATCTTAGGTTATAGTGAATTCTAGACCAATATGAGCTGCAGAGTGATAGTGCTTCAAAGAAACAGTTACTATGTACCAACACGTACAGAGAGGAGAAGAGACTACAGTCCCCACTTCTAATTCTAGCTACAAAAATACATGAATACAATTTAAATGAAATAGATAAAATTGTAGTGTTGAACTAGACATGGCTGCAGACACTTGTAATCTCAACACTAGACTGAAGCCTAAGAATTTACATGCCAAGACCCTATTTAAATAGTATATACAGGGGCCTGGAAAAGTGAATCCACAGTTACAAGTAGTTATAGGTCTTGCAAGGGACCCAGTTTTGGTTCTCAATACTCACATGGTGGCTCACAATCATCTGTAACTCTAGTTCTAGTGGATCTGATGTCCTCTTCTGACCTCCTCAGGCAACAGATATACACATGGTACACATACATATCTGTAGACAAAGCAACCAAACCATACATACAATATAAAATAAATGTCTTTAAACAATATAGCTGTCTATAAGCAATATGATGGTTAATCTCAATTGTCAACTTGTTGAAATCTAGAATCACATGAGAGACAAACCTCTTGGCATACATGCTGGGATTTTTTTTAAAACTAAGTTAATTTAAGTGGGAAGACTCACTGTGGGTAGCACCATTCTCTAGGATGGTATCTTGGACTATATGAAAAGGTGAAAGTGGGCTGAGCACGAGAGTCTGTCCATCTCTGCTTCTTGGCTTTGGACCCACATTGTTTCTGTTTGGGTACTTTATCACAGCAACAGGAAAAACAACTAATACAGATGTTCAATAAATGCAACTGAAACTTAGAAACTCTATTGCATATTGATTTGAGTAATCTCTTTTTAGTAAGCTTCAGATGTCCCCAAGTAAGAGCATTATGCTCTCACTCTGCTGCTATATTACAGGGTGTGTGGTTCTTTTTTTTTTTTCTCTTGTGTCAGGTAAAATAAACAGGTTAAGATGAGGCAAATTAACCCCACAAAAAGAAGAGTGAAAGTCGTTCCTACCAATGCACCTATGCACCTCCACAGAATGAATTCACAGAATTCATGATATTCTGTTTTCAGCTGCCCTGACCTTCAAGTGCCTGGGAGACCAGTGGCCAGTGTACTGCAGAGTGATACGGGAGAAGAATCTTTGCCAGGACATGCGGTGGTACCAGCGGTGCTGTGAGACATGCAGGGACTTCTATGCCCAAAAGCTACAGCAGAAGAGTTGACCTCTGGCAGGCTGGCTGACTGGCTCATAGCTTTTTTTGCTATTGCATTATTTATAAACACACACTAGCATGTTTTTCAGACCAAATATTATCAGATTACATATAATTTAATCAAATTAATTTATTTGCCTGCCAGACATCTAATGTGGTGTTCGTTTTGGTTATACAAACATTTTGATTTTATACTATGAGGCTTCATAAATAATTTTATATGAATGAGTAAGTTGGGTCTAGTAAACTAATAAGAAAAAAAGAATTTTTTTTTCATTTAGGGCTGTCTCTAAGGTGCTATTTTTTCTCCACCAAAACCATTAAGTTATCCAGTGTGTACACTACCTTAGCATGATAGCTTAGCTATATATGCAGAAAATGACATATTTTCTTGTGTCCTGCTGCAGATCTGCCCATTTTTGTTAATGGCAGGAGATGTGTAAACAGAACAAACCTCACAGTCTTGAAAAGTTTGAGAGAATGTATTATGAATTTGATTCAGATTTAGTGGTGAGCACAGGAGACATTCTACTGTAATGATACCTTTATGTTAATAATGGAAAAGTCAAGACAGAGACTTTGATCATGTCGGTAAACACGCACTTGAACACAAGTACTGTGAGCCTGAAGCACTGTATTGATGTACACTGAATCACCGTTACGCTGTGGGTGTAGGTGTAGAGAAGCTGTGACAGAGGTGGCAGCTCCTATAAAGCCTGTGTTATTGTAACATGCCATTAGACTGTGGCTTTTAAAAATTATTTCAAAGAGAGAAAACCTGGATCCACCCACATGCTTCCATGCCCTAGCAGACTTATGGAAGAGTATCGTACTTTGATTCACAAATCATATGAGCAATGGTAGTAAATATTTTTTTCCTTCTTTTCCCTAGGAAATAAAAAGAAAATGAGAGTCAGATAATATTTTGATAGTTTCATTGTGTTTTTCCTTTCTAAAGAAATAAAATTATAATTCTCTGAAACATTCAAAAGACATCTTAATTTTTTTCTTATAAGAAAATATTGTACATGGTTCACATGGTTTCTTAGATTTTTTTTTCAATAAAATATGTGAGACTTCCTTTGGGAAGACAGGACTTCACAGGGCTGTCCACATTTCCACACTTGGCAAGAAGAGGCACCGTCTGCCTCTGTTCTGAAGTCTTCACTATAGGAAGCTTGCAGAGAAAGCCACGGGAAGACAAGATCTCTTTTGAGAGCAAGGTTCCTTTCACACAGTGCATCCCAGTTCATGTGCAGGTACTAGCTGTCCCCCTTTATATTACTGTTGATGCAAAAAACACAACACTCATCTTAAAGCAAATAAGAGATAGTTTATTCTAGAGCTACCTTTGAGTGCCTAAAGCCTGGGAATACAGATCTAGGCTCAAATTCCATGATCCTACATAGAAGCAGTTTCATCAAGTAGTTTTACAAAGAGTCTGAAATAAAGTTCAAAATACATGGGTGATTACATCAGAAAGGTGGATACAAGGTAAAGAAAGCTTTTCCATGATCTTCAGATACTATCTGATGACGTTCTTAGCTTTGGGGTTGGCAGACATATACTGTCAGCTAAGATAGATTAATAGATTCCAGAAGATTTTGTATCTATTAGTCACAGACAGGATGATAGTTCCCACATAAAGGTGGGCAAGGAGTGGCTATTTAGGGTGCTAAATATAACCCAAGATAAAGTAATTATCCTCCGGATGTACAACATCCCAATCTCCCCCTTGAAACTTGAAATAAGATGTGACATTCCTAATTCTTTCTCTTGGTTCCTGAACCCACACATCTCAAGTCAAAGTAGTATAACACCACATGTTGAAGTGGTTCAGAGTCTGAACATATCTACAAGCTAAAGTATCAGTGCTTTCAGCCTCCAAGGTGTTTTCCTTCACCCGGTGCAACAACTGAAACTGTCTCAAAGACTGTCGTTCTGTTGGGTACATCTTGGGTAGAACTCCAAGGGGCAGAGAGACGTGCATCACACCATGGGCACATTTTATGGTCATTAACGGGGATTTTCCCCTCAAGTTTGTTCTCCATCTCTGAAATTTGTTCTTTTGCATAGTTTTATAATTAAACTCATTACTTTGTATATTAATTCTTAAAACTAGTGAAAGTAAATTAAATGAAAGGGAGATGCCCTAAGAGACTGTAGGTCAGAGTTTACAGGGATGAGACAGTGAAGCAGCAGAGAGACTCAACAGGGAGAGCTAGTTGCTCATGGAACTGACTGTGCTTCCAACATGTGACCAAGATTGATCTTGCACAACTGTGATGGGAGTCATGCTCTGATCAGGTAACCTGCCCACAGGCTTAGTGAATCTGACATCATTAGTCCACGGAGCAACAAACAAAATATGTCTGACTGTTGTCTAAAGAGACTCATTTGATCTTTAAAGGTAGGATTAGCTTAAAGAGAAAGAATAGAAACCCCATTCTAAACAAATAAGGACAGAAAATAAGCAGGTGTCGCTACACTAACATCAGACAAAATAGATGTCAAATAAAAACAAAGCAGAAAAGATGAAGGATGCTTCATTCTGTCACAGGAACAATCAACTGGGAAGCCATTATCATCCTAAGCATCTATGTACCAAAGTCTGCAGTATCCAATTCATTAAAGAAAGACACTATGAGACTGTAACATGGAGATTAGCTCTAACTCAGTAATAGTACGTGACACTGATACTCCATTTCCCCCAGGTTATGTGTTATCTGAATAAAAATTCAAGAGAGAAATATCAGAATTAAATAACATCATACATTAAATTTACTTAACAGATACTTTCAGAAAATTCTACCCAAAGCCAAAGAGTAAACATTGTACCCAGAGTTTCATGGAAACTTCTCTAAAACAAACCACAAAACAAAAACTTGTGAGACACAAAACAAACATTTTTACAAATTCAGGAAAACCTGATGTAACACTCTGTACTCTATCTTACCACAAAACTTTAAAACTTAAAGTCAACAGATCCCTAGTGGGGATTCTAGTAGATCTCTCATGGAACATATGAGGATTAAACAACACATTACTGAACAACGAATGGGACAAAGAAGAAATCTAAATATTCCTAGGACTAAATGAAAAGGAAACATACCACTGGGACACATTAAACACGACTTTAAGAGAGAAATTTATAGCTCTATTTCCTACATTTAAAAAGATTAAATGAGCAGGAGGAGGGGGGGATGGGATGGGGGTTCCTGGGTGGGGAGGGAATGGAGTAAGGGGATAACATCCGAAATGTAAATAAAATATCCAATAAAAATGAATTAAAAATAAATAAATAAATAAATAGAAAAACAAAACAATAAAAAGATTAAATGGAAATGAATTAATGCTACAACTCAAAGTTTTGAAAAATAACAAATCAAGCCCAATTCAGTAGACTGACATGAATAAATAAAAATTAGAGCAGGAAAAAAATTAAGTAGAAACAAATCATGGAATACAAAGAATTAACAAATCTAAGTTCTGGTTCCTTGAGAAGATAAAACAAGATTTATAAACCCTTGGCCTAATTAGTCAAAAAAAGAGATCAAGATAAACCAAAATAATGGACTTGAGATGAACAGAGAACATTACAACAGACGATGAAGAATATTATACAGGAATGCACTAAAAACCTTTACACCACTGAGTTAGAAAATAAAGAGAAAATTTAGAAGTTTGTAGATTCACATACAACAGTAAACAAAGAAGTGAGCAACAATTAAAACTTATCCATAACACATAAGGAAATCTAAACAATAATAAAAAGCTTTCCAACAAAGAAAACTCCAGGCCCAGGTGGATGCACAGCAGATTGTACTAGTCTTTAATGGAGTGACACTGTACTTCTTAGATCACTAAAAAGAGCAAAAGGAACAGAAAGGGAAGGGTGCTTCCAAACTCCTATTAAGCCAGTATTATTCTAATGCTGAAAGTAGGTAGACACAAGCGCACGCACACACACACATGTGTGCATGTACACACACACACGTAGAGAGAGAGGGAGGGAGGGAGGGAGGGACGGAGGGAGGGAGAGAGGGAAGAAGGGAGGGAGGAAGAGAAAGAGAGAGAGAGAGGGAGAGGGAGAGAGAAAGAGAGAGAGACAGACAGAGAGAGAGACAGAGAGACAGAGAATTACAGACAAAAATCTATCAGACACATAACCATCTCACTACGGAGAAAGGCCTTAAACAAAATCCAACAACCCTTCATAACAGTCCTCCTTGAGAGTAGGAAAGGAGGAATAGGAAACACACTATAACACAATAATAGCTACATCTGGCAAACTAAATGACCATATCATCCTAAATGGAGAAAAACTAGAAGCAAACCCTTTAAAATCTGGAAGAAGATAGACCTGCCTGCTCTCTCTCTCTTTTAATACAATGCATGAAGCCATAGATAGAGAAACAAGACAAGAGAGGGGGATTAAAGGGATACAAAAAGAAAAAGGAGCAAAATCATCCATATCTGTGGATGATTTAATGTTATAAATAAGAAAGCCCCAAAACTCCACCAGAAAATGTCTAGGCATGATTAACAATTTTAGAAAAGTGGCAGGCTACCAACTCAAATTATAGAAGCCAGCATTCTTTGTATATATACCATCAGTAATCATGCTGAGAAATAGATTGTGAAAACATTACCTTTCACAGTAGCCTCAAAAAAATATCTAGAAATAAATCTAACCAAGAAGGTGAAAATTCTAAACAATGAGAACTTTAAGTCTTTGAAGGAAGAGATTGAAGAAGACACCAGAAGACAGAGATACCTTCCACCCTCATGGATTGGTAGAATTAATTTTGTAAAAATGGCCATTCTACAAAAAGAAATCTACAAATCCATTGAAAGTCCAATCAAAATCCACACGTCGTTCTTTACATTAATCATAAAATTAATATGGAACTACAAAGTCTCCAGATAGTGAATGTAACAATCATCAAAAAGGACAGTGTTGGAAAGATCACCATTCCAGACTTTAAGATGTATTGCAGAGCTGAAAT